CCTTCCAGACTGCCTCTCTATGTAATCTGGATTTTGAATGTTGGAAGAGTGTGTCTTCTTCTTTCCCATTACTTATTGAAAAGAGTGAATCCTTGAATCTTCCAGGCTGGCTGTGGAGGAGGCTGAACCTGGGACTCAGAGAGCCTGCAGGTTGGCTTCATCTCAGGGCTCCAGTGTTCAACTCCCACAGTGAGTGGGTGAGGCACAGCCCCTTGGTCAGGGAGCCATGGTCAGGCCAGCAAGAGACCCAGCTAAAGCTACTCAGGCCTCACTCCCATGACCAGAGGCCAGGTTCAGCCTGCATTTCTGGGGATTTGAAAGTCCTAGAACCGGTACATAGCCCTAATCTTACCACTGGCTTGCTGGTGACTGCCCAGCACATACCTGGGCTCTGACTGCCTTCTTTGTGTACCCAAGAGCTGTGCCTTGATTTGGACACTGCCACAAAGCTGTAGATCCCTGAAGATAACCACCGGCTTGAAATCACATAGAAATTTCTTTTTTTCCCCTTTGTTTTTGTTGTTGTAGAATTTTTTAAATTGCTGTTTTTGTTTTTTCTTGTGTGTGAACATGGTCTTCACTGTTTTGTTTTGTTTTGTTTTGTTTTGTTCTTGTTTTTGTTTTTGTTTTTTTCTTCCTTCTTTCCCTCCTGTCTTCTTCATCAGCTTCCTGGGCTTCATCATCTTCCTCTGTCCTTCAGTCTTATCTAATCTCTTTTTTGCTTTTATTTCTCTACTTTTTCCTCTTTTTGCTTTTAAAGTTTTTCCCCTTAATTTGTTATTTCTACTCTCTGTGGAATTTCTTTCTTTTTTTTCCTCTTTTCCTTTCATCTTCCATTTCTCACCAGCTTTTGCAAAACCTTTACCCAATGCTATACACATCCTTCTCCTCCTCCATAAGGTCCTTTGTACCACTTCTCCTCATTCTCACATCATAGTTTAAGTTTTCAAAGTTTTCCTCTTGCACCCCCAATTCCCAAGCCCTAAGTCTCTAATCATATAACCATAAAGATTTCTAATCTTTTGATGGTTAGCTCTGTAAAGTTACTGTTGAATTCTCTCCTACCACCAGCAGAGCTATAACTCTTACATTTACTACATATGAATCATAAGTCAGTGTATAGGTTGCCTTAATGTTCACATCACAATTGATGGTTTCTTCTCTAGGAGTAAAGGTGGTACATGCCTGGTTCTTTTGGTACCTTAATGTCTAATTTGTCTCAGGCAATAATAGCCTTGTAGCAGTTTCGCTTGATATTAGCAGAGTCACATAATTGTCACTATTTTTCTGTGAGCCTACATTTAGTTTCTCTTTGCGACATTAATGATAGTAGCATACATTCCCAGAAATCTTGGTTGCTGGAAGAACTGGACTGCATTCTCCTTTCCCAAAATAAACAAGGTGGTTAAACATTTGGGCTGTGGCTAAGGACTATAGGTAGCCATGCCACAGAAAGATTACCACTGTAAAGCAACAAAGAGATCTCTATACTTGTAATCACCAGTGCCTTGGTTCCATTTCCAGCTTCAACCCAGAAGCATACCTTTCTTTTGTGGTCCAGATTACAAAGTTTTTGGCAGATGTGCTCTGGGACAAATTTCTGTGTGGTTTTTTTTTTGGCCTTATTTGGTTCAAAAGTTTATTGAAATCCTACCAGAAAGATGGAAGACTTTTGTAAGGGTTTACTGTAGCTCAGTCAAATTAGCTTACCAGAGCAGCCCTCTCTCTAGGACTCTCTCAGTACAGAACAGAATAGCTTAGAAACTACCAAACATCAGGACTCAGCCTATCTCTCCACCTTTGGGGTCCTGGCCAGGTATGATCTTTGGATGTCCATCTCCTTGGGGAGTAGCTTCACTTACGAACAATGGCAAGAGGATATTGACTCTTGGGAGTCCATGACATATTTACAAAGGGTAAAGAGATATTATTGGCATGGTTCTATTACTACAGAGAGGAATATTCCCTTTCCATCTGCCTGGTAACACTCAGTTCATCCAGGCCATCCAACACAGTATAACCTAGTATGGATTTAGTTACATGTATTCATTTTCATATCAGGCAAAAGACACAGTATTGAATGCATTAAAAGTAGGTAAGTTAACTTTCCTGTCTACAGAGCAGATCAGTGTTAAACACAGAATTAGCCAGGCATGCTAGCACATGCATGTAATTGCAGCATTCCAAAGGCTAAGGCAGGAGGATCATTGCGAATTCAAGGCCATCCTGGGTTACAAAGTGAGTTGAAGGTCAGCCTGAACTGCATAGTGAGATCCTGTCTAAAAAAGACAAAAAAAAAAACCCACAAAGAATTAGATTTTAGTTTTATATTAGTTTATTCAAGTTTGATTTTAGAAACCTCTTTAAATAATTTTTAAATTGTACCTTACACATACAAATTTCTTATATAAGATTCATCTTCTGCAAAACTTTATTTTTTGTGTTTTTGAGACAGGGTCTCACTCTGCAGTTCAGGCTGGCCTTGAGCTCACTTTGCAGCCCGGGCTGGTCTCGAACTCACAAGGATCTTCCTGCCTCAGTCTCCAGAGTGCTGGGACTACAGGTGTGTGCCACCGTGCCCGGCCACAAAACATTTTTTGACTGACTTTTTCCGTAAGTTTAACTTTCTATTTGGTCCTCAGCTTTTCTCCCCCCAAACCACACCGCCTTGGTTTTATTATTGTTGTTGTTCTTCATTCTAGTAGGACAAAATTGTACTATCAAAAATCCTTTACAGCCATAAGGATCTGCATGCCCCTATCTTGCTTACTGTCTCTTCATTTCTACTCATTGGTTTTTACTACAAGTTTTCTGGCCACTTGAATATTAACATGTTCTTAGTACTTTATTTTTATGTGAGTTCCTAGTACTTTATTTTCATTTTTAACTCATACAAGTTACGTTTTAATTAAAGCGGGCTGAATAACAGACCTCTAAGTAACCTTGATGAATAAATTACCTTAGTACCAGAATAAGACAGAAAGAAGGGTAAGATGATACACTTTAGCTAAGGCTAACAAACCTTGAAGCCTTTACATGCTGTCGAATGTCAAAAACCCAGTTCAAGGAGACCAAAGTGCCAGGGCCAACAACTAAGGGGCTGGGGTCACCAGTTTCACTTTGGAGTGAACCATCCCACAGGGGCCCCCATTTCCAGCTGACAGGACGGCTCAGAAATGCATTTTCCCAGGCATCCTGTTCCTTCTTACCATTCCAGGAATACCTGCATTGTAACTCAGGTTCCACATCCAAGTGTCCCTGGGCTGGGTCTGAGAGGTCCCAAAGCCTGACATAAGGAACCTATCCCATGCTTTCAAAATAAGTTTCAGATTTGCCACATTCTGTTGCAGACAAAGAATTTTCAGGGCCCATCAGTGAAAGAAATGAGAGAAGGGTGATTAGGACACACTCAATGAATGGAGTGCAGTGCTCAGAGAAATGAGACGCATTATGCCAGAGTGGGTACACTGAAGGGCTGTCTCCAAGATGGGTG